GTGGAGGTGGGACGGGACCGTGGAGGTGGGACGGGACCGTGGAGGTGGGACGGGACCGTGGAGGTGGGACGGGACCGTGGAGGTGGGACGGGACCGTGGAGGTGGGACGGGACCGTGGAGGTGGGACGGGGCCTCTGGCCCATTCCCACAGCAGGTCCTGGTGCCTGGAGCGTCCCTCCCCAGGGATAGAACTTTGCTCTCCTTGCTGCTCTTCCCAAGGTTTCTCCAGCTGGGAATGTTCCTCTGGATGGCAGCAGAGCTCCGTGGGGTCCCACCAGCCCTGTGGCACCCGCTGAAGTCCTCCTGCCCCTTTATCCTGAGCAAATCCTGGTCCTCCGGGTTCATCCACCCCAGGATTGTCCTCCAGGATGCCACGGGACACCGGGATGAAGATCAAAGCCACGAGCACCACTTCTCCTCCAGAAACCCACCCTGGCTGCTCCCGGTGACCTTCCCGTCCCCCACTCCTTTGGAACGGCGCTGAGGATGAGGATGGGAATTCTCCACACTCCAACACCTCTCCAAAGATCCACGGGAAGCTTCCAGATCCTCCTCCGTCCTTCCTGGAAGGCAGGCGGGACCTGCGGCTCCTCCCAACCCCAGGAGCGGCCATTCCCACCACGTCCCTTCGTCACCTCCAGCTCCCACGGGTTCATCCCACCGCAGTCATGTCTCATCCCTTTCCCAGCCGGGATTTGGTGCCACCAAACCCATCCAGAAGAAAATCACGGAAGAACCAAACGGGATAAACGTCAGGTAGAACCACGGGTAGAAGGCCCAGAAGGGAAGGGTTGTCCTCCTGCAGGTGGAATCATCTCCATCCTGACTTCTCCCTCACGGTGGGGTCGTTCCAACGCTGAGCCCCAGCTGGGTTCATCAGAGCCAGGTGGGAATTCCCGTTCTCAGACCCTAAAACCCCATTTTTTATCCCTTTTTCCCCTCACCCCACCCCTCGCTCCATCCCGTTCTTCACAAGGGGTTTGTCCTTCCTGCGGCTCTCCGTCACGAGAACAAATTCCGGATTCATTCCTGGAAATGCACCAAAACCTCCTTTCTTCACCCCCTAAATCCAAGGAATTCCCACGGGATGGGACAGCGGGGATCTGCTCACACCCAAGCCAGCTGGAGAACATCTGGGGGAGGTCTCATGGCCACCTGCAGGCCCCAAACCTCTGCAGAACCTCTCTTCACCTTGGGAACCATCGCCTTGGCCAGCCCGGAGGTGCCACCAGTCCCGGCGTGGTCCCTCAGGGCCGCAGCTCCGTGGGTTCTTCCCAATCCCAAGAGCTCCGTGGGTTCTTCTCAATCCCAAGAGCTCCATGAGTTCTTCCCAGTCCTGATGGCTCCATGGGTTCTTCCCATCCCTGAGGGCTCCATGGGTTCTTCCCAGTCCTGAGGGCTCCATCAGTGCTTCTCATCCCTGAGAACTCCATGGGTACTTTCCGACCCCGATGGCTCTGTCGGTTCTTCCTGACCCCAACAGCTCCACCGGTTCTTCCCATCTCAAGGCTTCCATTGGTTCTTCTCAATCCTAAGAGCTCTGTGGGTTCTTCCCGGTCCTGAGGGCTCCATCAGTTCTTCCCGACCCCAAGAGCTCTGTGGGTTCTTCCCAACCCCTACGGCTCCACTGGTTCTTCCCAAGGTCTCCATGGGTTCTTCCCAACCCTCATGGCTCCATCAGTTCTTCCCGACCCCAAGAGCTCTGTGGGTTCTTCCCAACCCCAACGGCTCCACTGGTTCTTCCCGAGGTCTCCATGGGTTCTTCCCAACCCTCATGGCTCCATCAGTTCTTCCCGACCCCAGGGTCTCCGTCAGGTCTTCCCGACCCCAGGGTCTCCATTGGTTCTTCTCATCCCTGAGGGCTCCATGGGTTCTTCCTGACTCCGAGGTCTCCGTGGGTTATTCCCAACCCCAATGGCTCCACTGGTTCTTCCCAAGGTCTCCATGGGCTCTTCCCGACCCCGAGGTCTCCATGGGTTCTTCCCAACCCCAATGGCTCCACTGGTTCTTCCCAAGGTCTCCATGGGCTCTTCCCGACCCCGAGGTCTCCGTCGGTTCTTCCCGACCCCAATGGCTCCTCCGACACAGAACCCAGAAGAAGGAGAATTGTCCCCAAGCGAGGCGGTGCCGAGGGTTCTGTGGGATGTGGAGACCCCCTGTGCCGAGCCGAGGTCCTCTCCCGGCATCTCCAAGGCTTTGGAAGGGGCTGTGCTGCTGGAAGCGATGGATCCCATGGAGGTGACAGCTCCAAGGCCATCTCGGGCTGTGGTGTCCATTCTCCTGGAAGCGGTGGAAGGTGGCACCAAATCCCACCAGGAGGCTCCTTCCAGGCCAAGCCGAGCCTTGGGAGACCCCAAATTCCGGTTCTATCTCCTCTGGCTTTGGGATTGGACCTGCCGTAGGATCCGTGGGCCACCGACCGTCCCAGCTCCTCTCCAAGGATCCGCTTGGAGCTCCAGGAGCGGGAAAAGGGGACCCCACAGAGCTTCTGGTGCCTTCAAACCGACATTTTGGGGCCCAACCAGGGTGGTGGCACCCCAGATCTTGGCGGCAGTGACGTGCCTCGGTGGCACTGGGGTGGCTCCAGCATCTCCTGGAAGTTTCCGGTTCCTCCTGGGATTTTTTTTTGGGATATTTCCCACCCCTGGGAGCTTCCAAGCTGTCGGCTCCTCTCAGGGAAGGGGAGGAACGGAATCCAGCGGGATTTATTATCCCAAATAAACGGGGGAGGTGATGGATGATTCCCTGGGAACACCGGGACACGGCCACGGCTCAGCGGAGGGGAAAAGAAAGGATTTAGGAGCTGGAAAATTCCAGTTTGAGGGCTCTTCCCGTCCCGTGTGGGATGCAAACGGAGACCCGGAGGAGCTGGGGGTTCTCCGAGCTCATCCCACAAAATCCGAGCGGGATTTTGGAGGCTCCTCAGGAGTTTTGGGCTTGGGATGGGTGAGGCAGTGATGGGGGATGGAGGTTGGGGATGGTTTGGGGTCTTGGGAGCATCCTGGTTTGGGATCTTCACCCTGGTTTGGGATCTTCACCCTGATTTGGGACCTTCACCTTCCCTTGGGACCATCCTGGTTTGGGACCTTCACCTTCCCTTGGGACCATCCTGGTTTGGGACCATCCCCTCCTCAGGACCATCCTGATTTGGGATCTTCACCCTGATTCGGGACCTTTGTCCTGACATGGGACTGCCTTGATTTGGGACCTTCACCTTTCCCTTGGGACCATCCTGGTTTGGGACCTTCACCCTGATTTGGGATCTTTGTCCTGATTTGGGACCGTCCTGATTTGGGACCTTCACCTTCCCTTGGGACGATCCCAGTGCCCATTCAGGACCATCCTGGATATCCCCAGCACCCATTTGGGATCTTCACCTTCCCTTGGGACCGTCCTGGTTTGGGATCTTCCCCTCCTCAGGACCATCCTGGTTTGGGACCTTCACCCTGATTTGGGATCTTCCCCTCCTCAGGACCTTCACCTTGATTTGAGATCTTCACTCTGATTTGGGACCATCCCCTCCTCAGGACCATCCTGGTTTGGGATCTTCACCCTGATTTGGGATCTTCACCTTCCCTTGGGACCATCCCAGTGCCCATTCAGGACCATCCTGGATACCCCCAGCACCCGATTTGGGATCTTCACCTTCCCTTGGGACTGTCCTGGTTTGGGATCTTCACCCTGACTTGGGACTGCCCTGATTTGGGATCTTCCCCTCCCTAGGACGATCCTGATTTGGGATCTTCACCCTGATTCGGGATCTTTGTCCTGATTTGGGATCTTCACCTTCCCTTGGGACTGTCCTGGTTTGGGATCTTCACCCTGACTTGGGACCATCCTGATTTGGGATCTTCCCCTCCTCAGGACGATCCTGATTTGGGACTTTCGCCCTGATTTGGGATCTTTGTCCTGATTTGGGACCTTCACCCTGATTTGGGACCATCCCCTCCTCAGGACCATCCTGGTTTGGGACCTTCACCCTGATCTGGGACCTTCACCCTGATTTGGGACCTTCACCCTCCCTCAGGACCATCCCGGTGCCCCCCAGGGGTGCCGGTGACAGCGGTGGCACCGTCCCCTGAGACCCCCAAACCCCTCCAGGCCCCACAGAGGGACACGGGTGCCCCGGGGCGTTGGGGACACGGGGCGGTGGCGCTGGTGGCACTCACGAGGACGTCGAAGCTGTCGCGGTAGAGCTGGCGGTCGCAGTGCAGGCAGTCGCCGCGGCAGTCGCCGCGCGCGCGGGCGAAGAGGCACAGCAGCAGCAGGTCCCAGAGCACGGCCCTCATGGTGCCACCGGCGCGGCTGCGGGGACAAAGCCCTCAGGAGCCCGGGAAATCCCACAAAACCACGGGAAAGCCCAGAAAATCCCAGAAAATCCCATAAAACCCTGCAAAATCCCACAAAATCCCGTAAGAACCCCACAAAATCCCATAAAACCCTGCAAAATCCCATAAGAACCTGTAAAACCTCGCAAAATCCCATAAAACCCCTCAAAATCTCACAAAATCTCATAAGAACCCCTCAAAACCTCGCAAAATCCCACAAAATCCCGTAAGAACCCCTCAAAATCTCACAAAATCCCAGAAAACCCTGCAAAACTCCGTGAAACCTCACAAAATCCTGCAAAATTCCATAAAACCCTGCAAAATCCTGTGAAATCCCACAAAATCCCATAAAACCCCATGAAATCCTATGAAATCCCACAAAATCCCATAAAACCCTGCAAAATCCTGTGAAATCCTATGAAATCACACAAAATCCCATAAAACCCTGTGATACCCCAAAAAATCCTGTGAAATCCTACAAAACACTGTGAAATCCTGTGAAATACCACAAAAATCCCATAGAACCACCAGAAACCCCTGGAAAATCCCATGAAATCCCACAAAATCCCATAAAACCCTGTGAAATCCCACAAAATCTCATAAAACCCCCACTAAACCTCACAAAACCCTGCAAAATCCTGTGAAATCCCACTAAATCCCACAAAACCACCACAAAATCCCATAAAAAACCCACTAAATCCCATAAAACCCCCGCTAAATCCCACAAACCCCGCACAAAATTCCACAAAATCCCACAAAACCCTGCAAAATCCTGTGAAATCCCACTAAATCCCTAAAACCCCCACTAAATCCAATAAAACCTCACAAAACCCCCACAAAATCCCATAAAACCCCCACTAAATCCTGTAAAATCCCACAAAACCCCCACTAAATCCCACAAAAACCCCACAAAACCCCCACAAACCCGCACAGCACCCGCACCAAAACGTTCCCGGCCGCTCCCTGCCCAAATTATCCGGTGGGGAAAGAAAGGAGCTGATCCCGAAAGGAGCCGATCCCAAAAGGAGCCGATCCCAAAAGGAGCCGATCCCAAAAGGAGCCGATCCCGAAAGGATCGGGTGCGTCCCGGGGGAATTTTTCCGGGAGGGCTCCTGGCGCAGGTCCCGGGATTATTTATGGACGTGCTGGGGCAGAACATTCCCAGCTGTTCCCGGGATAATTCCGGACAATTCCCACCCTCCGCTCCGGCTCCCAGCTGGGATTTGGGATCTGTCACCCCCTGTCCCCGTCCCGGGTCGGTGCTGCCGGAATCTGAGCCCGATTCCCGGAGAATTCCCGGAGAATTCCCAGAGAATTCCCGGAGAGTTCCTGCAGAATTCCCGCAGAATTCCCTGTCCCAGCTGGCTTGGCCAACAGGTTCAGGTGACAATTCAGGGACCAGAGGTGACAGAGATGGGGACAGAGATGGGGACGTGGCTCCAGATTTAGGTGACAATTCGGGGACAGGATGAGGATGTGGCACCGGGATCAGGGGACAATGACAGGACAGAGGGGACACAATGGGGACACGGCACCAGGTTCAGGTGACAATTCGGGGACCAGAGAGAGGTGACAGAGGGGACACGACAGGGACGTGGCTCCAGATTCAAGGGACAATTCAGGGACCAGAGGTGACAGAGATGGGGACGTGGCACAGGTTCAGGTGACAATTCAGGGACCAGAGGTGACCAGGATGGGGATGTGACACCGGGATCAGGTGACAATTCAGGGACCAGAAGTGACCAAGATGGGGACATGGCACTGGGTTCAGGTGACAATTTGGGGACCAGAGAGAGGTGACAGAGGGGACAGAGAGGAGGATGTGGCACCAGATTCGAGGGACAATGAGGGGACAGAGGTGACAGAGATGGGGACGTGGCACAGGCTGAGGTGACAATTCAGGGACCAGAGGTGACAGATGTGACCGAGATGGGGACACGGCACCACAGGAGAGGACCCCAAATCCCCCATCCCCACTGTCCCACCGTGTCCCCACGGGTCCCCAGGGTCACCTTTTGTCACCAGCGGGTGTTTGGTGACACTTTTGGGCTGTCACCCGCTGGGGACCCGATGAGAGCCGGGGGAGCCGTGAGGAGCGGCCGGGAGAGTCAGAACCCCCCAGAACCCCCCGGAACCGCTCGAGCCAAAATCCCGCACCGGGAACGGCGCCGCCACCTCCTGTCCCTCTGTCCCCATGTCCCCGTGTCCCTCTGTCCCTGTCCCTCTGTCCCTGTCCCCATCCCCCTATCCCTGTCCCCCTGTCTCCATCCCCATCCCCGTGTCCCTGTCCCTCTGTCCCCAGGTCCCTCTGTCTCCGTCCCTGTCCCCCTGTCCCCCATCCATTTCTCTGTCCCCCTGTCTCCATCCCCGTCCCCATGTCCCTGTCCCTCTGTCCCTGTCCCCATCCCTGTGTCCCTGTCCCTCTGTCCCTGTCCCTGTGTCCCTGTGTCCCTGTCCCTCTGTCCCTGTCCCCATCCCCGTGTCCCTGTCCCCCTGTCCCCGTCCCCATGTCCCCGTCCCCATGTCCCCGTCCCCATCCCTGTGTCCCCATCCCTGTGTCCCTGTCCCCACGTCCCTGCCCCTGTCCCCCTGCCCCTCTCTCCCCATCCCTGTGTCCCTGTCCCCATGTCCCCATCCCCATGTCCCCATGTCCCTGTCCCCCATCCCCATCCTCCTGTCCCATGTCCCTGTGTCCCCCTGTCCCCGTGTCCCCCTGTCCCCATCCCTGTGTCCCTGTCCCCATCCCTGTGTCCCTGTCCCCATGTCCCCATCCCCATGTCCCTGTCCCCATCCTCCTGTCCCCTGTCCCTGTGTCCCCCTGTCCCCGTGTCCCTCTGTCCCTGTCCCTGTCAAACGGGACCGGGAAGCGCTGAAACCCCCCGGGGGGGTCCCGCAGCCCCCACCCCAAAATTCAGGCCGATTTTAGGGGCTTTTTTGGGGGGTCCCAGCCACAAATCCATAAAAAAATTGGGATGAGTTTCCTCCAATCCCCCAATATTTGTTTTCTCCATTTTTTTTCCCATTTCCCCACGGTTTTTTCTCATTATTTCCCATTTTCCCTCAGGTTTTTTTTCCCTCCCCCCCCACTCTTTTCTCTCATTCTTTCCCATTTTTCCCTCTCATTATTTCCCTTTTTTCCTCTCATTCTTTCCCACTTCCCCCCACATTTTTCCTCCCATTCTTTCCCATTTTTCCAACATTTTTCCTTCATTCTTTCCCATTTTCCCCACATTTTTTCCTCCCATTATTTCCCTTTTCCTCCCACTTTTTTCTCTCATTCATTCCCATTTTCCCCCTCATTATTTTCCTTTTTTCCCCACTTTTCCTCTCATTATTTCCCTTTCCCCCCTCTCATTATTTCCCTTTTTTCCCCTCATTCCTTCCCATTTTCCCCACTTTTTTCCCTCTCTTTATTTCCCTTTTTCCCCCACTTTTTTCTCTCATTCTTTCCCATTTTCCCCACTTTTTTCCCTCTCTTTATTTCCCTTTTTTCCCCTTTTTTTCCTCTCATTCTTTCCTATTTTCCCCACATTTTTTTCTCTCATTATTTCCCTTTTTTCCCCTCATTCTTTCCCATTTTCCCTCTCATTAGTTCCCTTTTCCCCCCACTTTTCCCTCTCATTATTTCCATTTTCCCCCACATTTTCCTCTCATTCTTCCCCATTTCCCCAACATTTCCCCCTCTCATTATTCCCCTTTTCCCCCTCATTCTTTCCCATTTTCCCCACATTTTCCCTCTCATTATTTCCCTTTTCCCCCCACTTTTCCCTCTCATTCTCCCCCATTTCCCCCACTCATTATTTCCCTTTTTTCCCCCACATTTCCCCTTATTCTTTCCCATTTTTCCCCATTCCAAAATCATTTTTCCCCACCAACAAAACCCAACCCGGGCCCTCTTTCCCAAAGGATTCTCCCACCTCTCCCTGACCACACCACAACCTCCTCCGAGCCACAAAATCTTCCTTTTCCTCCCCAAAAAAAAAACAAACCCAACCCACCCATCCCCGCTGCCCCGAGGTTAAAAAAAATCCCAATTTTTAATTTATATTTCTATTTTTTTTTTTTTTTTCCACCCGGTTGGAATTCCCCTCATTAATTTCAGAGAGAGGAACAATAAATAAGAAATAAAAAAATAAATCGGGGTGGGTTTTTTTGTTCTTTTTTTGGTTTTTTGTGTGTGTTTTGATGGAAATCCAGCCTGCGCTGGAGAGAAGGGCGGGTTTTTTTATGGGATGAGGTGGGAAAAATCCGGCGGATCCATTGTGGGAGCAGCGGGAATTGGGAATAAACCCCGGGAGAGGAGCTGGGAAGGGGCAGCAGGTGCTGCCTCAGATGGGAATTTTTATCCGCTCCATCGGAGACGATCCCAGCCCTTCTTCCCATGGGATTCTCCCTCCTTTGGGATGGCCACAAACACCCCAAAAATTCCCGCTTTGGGATCATTCCCATCCCAAAATCCCAATTTTTTTGCCCGAAGCCAAGGCCTGATCCAGAGGGAAGGATCCGAGGGAAAGCTTTTCCCACCCCCCTAAAAAAAAAAAAACAAACAATCAAAATAAAAATCAAATTATTCCCCGAGAGTACCGCTAAAGCCCCCGCCCCGAATCCTGCCGGGATTTTGGGGGGATTTTAGGGAAATCAGAGGGATTTGGGAATGCTGGAGGGGGAGGAAAAAAAAAACAAACCAGCGCTGCCTTTTCGCGGTGCCCCTCAATCAGGTAATTGGCCATAATTGGCCAAAATGAGGCGCCGCGGTGTGACTGGAAACGCAGATGGGAGCCGGGAAAAAAAGCTGCTTGGAGGTAAAAAATAAAAATTCCCCCCCAAAAAACCGGGAATAACATTTTTTTCCCCACAAAAAAAAAAAAAAAAACCCGGGAATAAAATTTTTCCTCCTCAACCTCTCTTTCCTGATTTTTTTTTTTTGGTGTTTTTTTTATATTTAGGGGGGCTCTAAACCG